ATTAGTAGACGTGACACCCACGCATCGATATGCTGTTTTACAAAAATATACATATATTAGTGAATTACATTAATTTTTAAACAAATTAATCAAAATCATATATAAGACAAATATAAGACTTACCTCCTCATCCAAATAGCCACTGTCTTCAACCCCTAATAGCACACCCCACCAAGACCGATCAAGCAACAAAAACATTTCATCGTTGAGTTTGCTGATGTCAGTGTAACACCCTTGGCTCCGCTCATGTAGATAAAAATCAACTGCGGTCTTAGCCCAAAGGGTATTATCCACAATTGTTTCCGGTAGTTGTCTCCTCTCCACTTCAGATACCGGAAGGGTACTAGCCGGTAACTCATACGAGTGCCAACTCTCATCCATCATGTCCGGAACCGGTGGGGGTTTCTCAATACTTCGATATATTACCCCATGTGAATCGGGCTCTGGAATGGTGGGAGGGACCTCTTCAACGATGACAGTGGCCTCTTGAACGGTGGGGGGGAATCTTGAGGGAGAATAGGGGCCTCTTGAACGATTGGAGGGGACTCTTGAGGGATGACCGGTGAGTCGGGCTTCTTCTTACGGAGTCTTCGCACCATTGGGGTGAACGAAGACGTAATAGCACGTCCACGCCGTCTGATGCGTGAACTCCGTCGTGCAAGGAAAACCCGACGTAAAGCATCCACCTTATCGGGCCGCTAAAAAAAATTAATACATAAATCAGTAAATAAACAGACATGATATTAAACAAAGACAAATATGTTTCAAACTAGCATTGTATTCACCCAAATCATTATTCTATCATAGTTCACAAAATGCTCAGATAACATTCCAGAAGTAAGCACTTATATAAACATTTAAAAGGACAACATATATAAACATTCCAGAAGAATAATAGTTTACTTTCGCAACACGAAACTTAAAATCGCAACGCGAAATGACTATCGCAACGCGGAAATGGCTATCGCAATGCGAAATGAAAATCGTAACGACAAAATCGCAACGCGAAATGAAATCGCAACGACAAAATCGCAACGCGAAACACAAATCGCATTGCGATTTTCATTTCGCGTTGCGATTTTGTCGTTGCGATTTCATTTCGCATTGCAATTTTGTCGTTGCGATTTCATTTCGCATTGCGATTTTGTCATTGCGATTTTCATTTCGCATTGCGTTAGCCATTTCCGCGTTGCGATAGTCATTTTCGTGTTGCGAAAGTAAACTATTCTTCTTCTGCAAATTGAAACTTGAATGGATTGCATTACTTCAACCAAAAGACAAAAACAAAACCAAAAACAAATACTAATAAAAACAGTTTAGCAGTATTGGCAGCAACCGAATGAATTACGAGTATGAAAAATCTTAAACTTACCTCGTTGCGTAGAGTATGAACCTCATTCTGCAACGATGCTACCATCTCACGTAGAGCGGCTACCTCACCGCGTAATGTAGACACCTCAACACGCCATGCACCATCGTCTTTGCGTAAAGTACCGACCTCCTCACGCAAGGCATTGACCTCATCACGTAACTCCCCTAACTCATCCCGTTGAGGTGGAGGTGGAGAACAGGGAGATAAACGTCGTGGCATCTTTTCCGGTCGCCTATCTTGCGGTGATGGTGGAGAAGAGGCTCGATGATGTGACAGAATAGGTGATGGCTGTCGTTGTGGAGGTGTATAGCCGGGTCGATCAGATGATGGCTCTGGGTGAGGTGATAGCTCTGGGCGAGGTGATGGCTCCCGAAGTGGAGGCTGCTCATCAACCGTTCCATCAAAAAAACGCTTACTAGCTTGCCACCAATCAGTGGCAAGCTCAGCTTCCGTGGGTGTCAGCCTCTGTAGAGGAGTGTTGGCCTCCTAACAATATAAAAGCTCAAACAAAGTTAAACGTGTACTAGTAATAACTTGTTTATAAACATATGGTAGTATTTATGTTAACTTACATTATTTATTGTCGTATACCGTAGTAAATCTTCTCATTGCAAGGTCCATTTCCTCTTCCAGGAAATAGCCCTGGGAATATCATTTGAAGTTTTTATTGCATATGTCTTCATGGCGGGAAAGGCCTCAAATATCCAAATCTACAAACAATATAATAACAAACATTAGTAATTGTTAAATAATTACTTATAATTTTGGAAACATCATATAAAAATTCTTACCTTAAAGGCCCAAATAAAGCCTGTCAAAGTGTATTTGGAACCATCGCCATGCAAACTTTTTCGATCATCCAAGGCAGACGATAACTTATTCCATGTAGCTTTCCATAAATACGAGCCCCATGGAAACAGGTTCCACGCATTTAGGTCTTCTACCAATTTGATTAGATCATTTGGAATAGGTTGTCTGGCCTCTCTGCCTAAAAAGCCGGCATGCAAAAGAATTAGAAGGCATACTCGGACAACGTCGACGTCATCCATCCGAGTAAAACCATCTTTATTATTCAAAAATCTTGTCAGGTCTTCTACGTGTAGACTCGGCCTCTCCAGCTCAGGAAAAACCCGGGATAGCCATGATGGGCGGGTAATGTGTCTAGTGTACCGACCTACATCATCGTGTCCGAAGCGTAGACCGGTGATTAAGCAAAACTCCTCCCGCCCAAAACACGTATACGCCGGTGGAAAATCAAACCATATCTCTTCATCACGACGTTGTATAGTCTCTGGTAGATCGCTAGTCATGGTTTGAAGAAACAGGTGTGTCAACATCGCATCTCCACGGGATGTTGTACTTTCAGCCATGGCCCGAAGCATGTATCCTCAAACATTTTTCTTTGTGCAGGTGAAAGCTTCGACGCAATTGTTTTGGCCAGGCTGACTTTATTTCTCAAGGTCAATTGAGCCGAATAAAAGTTCTACAAAAACAATAAACATACTAAATTAGATATACCAAAAACTACACTGTGAAGATATACCAAAAACAATAATAAACATAAATAGTAGTAGTTTATTCTTCAAACTTAAATATGCAACACTGTGAATTTCGTATTTGTCTTTGTTTTTTGGTTGAAGTAATGCAATTCATTCAAGTTTCAATTTGCAGAAGAAGAATAGTTTCTGAAAATGAAAATCGCAACACGAAAATGACTATCGCAACGAGAGAATCGCAACGCGAAACTAAAATCGCGTTGCGATTTGCATTTCGCGTTGCGATTCTTGGTTGATTTAATAAGCAATCTAAGTGAAATGGTTAATCTATTATTGAAATTACCAGTAAACTTATCATCAATTTCAATATGAAAAACCTAATAATAATGCAAAAATTTCAAAAAGAAAATAATTAAAAAAACTAACCCTCGTTGGTTGATTTGGTTGATTTTCCATTTCTGATTGTGAGGGTGGCTCTGAGAGATGGAGATAGACGGATTTCGCCGGAGATGGGGACGGATTTCGTCGGAGATGGGTGAGAGAGTGAGAGATGGAGATGGGACTGAGTTGTGATTTTAGGTTTTAGGTTATGAGTTGCGATTACGGGATATACTGTGGACAGTTCAGTGTTCCAATATATTAATATTCATGTTTGGAATTTAAAAATAAAATACTTGGCCAGGATACTAATGGCGCTTTGAAAATCGCATTGCGATTATGTATTATCGCGTTGCGAAAGTCAATATCGCGTTGCGAAAGTAAGTATCTCGTTGCGATTTTGTATTATCGCATTGCGATAGTCAGTATCGCATTGCGATTTTCCCAATTCGCGTTGCGATTTACTTATTCGCATTGCGATTTTCCCAATCCGCGTTGCGATTTACTTATTCGCATTGCGAATTGGGAAAATCGCAACGACACTGTATACCATCGCAACACGATTTCTAACTATCGCAACGCGAAATGCAACGCGAATTTGCGATAATGGAGATCGCGTTACGAATTAGCGATCGCATTGCGATTTTGTTGGTCATTTTGGCAAATCCGGAAAAAGTTGGTTAAAATCGTATATTATATGGGATTTTTGGTCACTGAGGTTATTTTCTCTAAAAGAAAATGATATTATCTATACAGATAATGCCGACATTGTTATGCTTGGTATAACATATACGACTGTATTTTGAATTTTGATCAATATTTAATTACAAGATTTATAGAGACAACATGATCTTTAACTAAAGCACCCTAAAAAGGCATTGAACAAGCACTAAGATCCCAACTTCTTTGAAACCATCCCTGAAATCCATGCTCATTGGAGATGAACCCTAATTCGGAGTTCTTGCGATAACCTTCGGCAGATCATCGGATGCATGGAAACTATGACTGACCATAACCTGGGAATGTTACCGCCTGCACATTGATAGAAAGATTTACCCATGGCCTTGGCCCTTTCGGAAACATGATCAGTGTCCTTAGATAGATAGTCTACAAATGGATTAGTTGCAGAAGTCATTGGATCAAGCTTCAATGGAGCTGGTATATGCTCTGACACTTTTTTTATCCTTCCAATATTTACCCTTCGAACTTAAAAAATATAATTTTGACCCATAAATTCAATAAAAAAAATCAATTTAATTCATTTGTCATGTCATCAATTATAATAGACTATCACATTAGCACTAAAAACTGTCAAGTCAATATCATAAAATACCACATCAACATCATAACGGTCAACAACGCATATCATTGATCAAAAAATCTCATTAATTTCTTTTTTCAAGTTCGAAGGTCACTGTACTGAATACAAAAATAATTCGAAAAAATAGGAAGTCCTCGAAGGTCTTTTTACTATTTTGTAATCTTATTCTCACTACCACAATTTTGAGAATGCAACTCTCTTTGGTAAATTAATGTCAACTGGTAATGATTCAATTTAATTTTATAGAAAGAAACGAATGAAAGTTGATTCATAACAGAAAGCTCGGATCTTCAGGAAGCCTGCTATGAAATAACTAGTTATCTCTTGTAACAATTATTTCACTATTAACTTGTTCGTTATTACTTTAAAGAAAGCAGAGGCAAATGATACTGGTAATGAAAAATGGTAAAATGAAAATAGTAACATCCCTCGATTTCACCACCCAGCTCTTCTATTTAGTTGATGATAAACAAGAAAAAACAAAAGGCAGAAACTAACTAGTCCATCCGTAACATTAATGGTTTATACAGTAAAGTCCACTCGTACCGATAAGATAGATCGATAATTGAAGGCGGTGAAAAACTAACGTTTTCACCCCGATAACAACACAACGAGGCCTTTCAGCATTCAAAAGGCTCCCACCCTATCACGCGGAATCAGCCTAAGTTCTGAACCGTGTTTGAGGAACACATTTCCTGCCAAAACCAAATCATAGTTTACATAAACATAAATCCTGCAAAATGATTTACTCGAACAAGATCAGATCACTAATAAAGTGATATACTCTTTCTTTTTCAACAAATTCACTGGCCTAGCTACAAAATGACTAGTTATTGCTATGAAATATGAATGCAGGCTGTATGTAGTTAAAGAATAAGATAGGACTCGCTGAAATAACAAAGGATCGGACATAGTATAGTAAAAGGTTAAATGAAGTATATTTTAGAATTTGCTATTGCGGAGCAAGATACTCCCTATCCTTAAGCTATTCATCCATTGTTAAGGTAAGACATGATAAAGACATATTGGAAAAGCAAGGATGCGACAGAAACTATGAGCTTTTGTCAGAGTCCGGAATATCAGCAAACAACAGGATTGTCCAAAAATAATAAAAAGCAGATGCTTGGGTCAGAAGCCAACATGGTTTTGAATTCTGATTTGAAATGGAAAATTTAAAGGAACAAAATGAGACTCAAAAAACACAAGCGAACCAAAATGAAGCTCTAAGACAATAAAACTAGTTAACAGAGTAAGTGTCTGCACACCTGCACTTTGCTGAGGATTGATTCCCACGCCATCTGTTTTAAGAAAGAACACATATTTCAATGATCAAATATATAATTTATGATGTAGAGTTTAGATACCGAATATCACAGATTTAACATTTCTATTTCATCATAATCATGTACAAAATTCATATTTAAAACAATGTCGATTGAACTAGGCTTATTAAAAAAATGATAGAAATGTGGGAACCAAAGCAGCTTACAGAGGTCCATGGCATGGCATGGATCAGATTCCATAACAATTTAATTCAATTTAATCTAGAAGTAGTTCTAGAGGACAGAAGGGTGCCCTTCTATACAATCCCCACATATCATACAAGTTGATAAGAACTTGAGCCCTATAAATTGATGGGTTGCTTTGACTGTGTTTTTTTTAAAGTATCCATAAATGAGATGAATATAGAAACATACCCTCCAATGGCATCTAAATAGGTCGAAAACTTAAAAAAAAAAATTGAGCATACCTTTGTTGGATACATACGCGTATCTAGGAGTGCCTAGGATGAAAAACATACGCTATTTATCCATATCTATCAAATTGAATAATCAATTATCTTGATCAGAAAACTTTCATCATGTGATGAACTTAGAATAGCTTTTCTTCAACGAATCTTGCCTTATTTATTTTGAAAACTAGGTTCTTTTCCCCTCATAAAAGAGCCAAAATTGTTAATCTATGACAGTTTCCACCTCTAAATTCCCGAATTCTAATTTCAATACCGCATATAATTAATTAACTGGAAATCACAAGATAAAACGATAAAAAATCAATTAAATTAATTGTTAAATAATTTTTATTTTCTAGAAAAAAGAAGGAATTGAATTACCGTTGGTGATGATAGCGCTGGTTTGGGGAGGGACTTTGAATTCCTCAGCTGCGAATTTCAGAACAGCCGTGAACGGGGCTGCTTCGGGAACGCTAAAGCTGAAATTTCATAAATTATTTTAAAAGATTAAATCGAGATTAATAATTAAAAAAAAATAAAATGAAAAAAATAAGAAGAAGAGAAACTCACACTTTGAAAGGGAGCTTTGGATCGGAGGTAAGAGTGACTTTGAAAGACACTTTTCCACCACTCGCCATTTCTCCCTCTTCTTCCTTGAGATTTCTGAATTTCTTTTTTCTACGATTTGAGATTTAGAGAGATTTCCGATTTATATATTTCAAATATTGTTTTTATAGCTCGCGTGATGTCTAAGCCAACTGGTATTTTTGGTATTTTAGGCTGTCTTTCTATATTTTATTGTAGGTAAAAGTACTGTAAATGCCACTTTATTATAACGTAGGTTGCATTTGGCCCTTAAATTAGAAAAAAACAAACAAACAAAATAACACAAGGAATTGTTGTTATTCTTTGAGGTTATTGGTTTAAGTATAAAAAATATATGTACAAGCGTTTAATATTAAATTGTTGAGAATTATCTTTAAATAAATATTATCTTATACTTATCCAGATTAATAAAAAAATACATCTATCATCCACAACTTTTATAAAGATTTTATATTCACCCATCATCTTTAGAAAAATGCATTTATCATCATAAATTTTTAGAAGGTTTCATCATTCATTCCTTTTTTACACTAGTCAACTGTTAAAATTTGAAATAAGTATTATTGAGTTAATCGATCGACGAAATAGCCAAGAGGGAGTGAATTGACAATTAAAAAATTCGATGGAAGCTTTGATAGAAAATTGAAAATATTTACACACCGATTTAGAGTGGTTCGACTTTCTCAACAAAGTCTACATCCACTACCTTAGCTATCCATATTAAGGATTTTCCACAAATTCACTAATTTGTACTTCTTTTGAGGACAAAGAGTAACCTTACAACTCCCTCAAGAATTATACCCCAAATTCTTGAGAACACTCTCTCCCAAAGAGAATATTACAAATTTTGCAAACTTACAAAAAAACCTCACATGGTAGATTGTTTGCACAATTCTAGAACAAAGAAAGAACACTCAATAATAAATACAATTGAGCACAAATAGTGTTCTTGAAAGAAAAATGAATATTGAATGGAAATAGGCTTGAAATGCTCAAACAATAAGTGTAAGGCTTTCTCTTTGATTCTCTCTCAATTCTTGTTGATCAATGGCTTCAGAACTTGTTTAAATACACCATTGATCAATTCTGAACGTTGGGGATCATTGGTGAAGTCAATAGAGCCGTTTTTGTATGCTTTCCATTTAAAAAATATGTTGGGAGCGTAGGGGTATCGGTACACCTTCAAAGAGTATCGGTACACCTAGTGTAAAATTCAAATATTTCGACCGTTATTTGACCAAGTGTATCGGTACCTCCCAGGGGTATCGGTCCACAAATTGCATTCGATGTTTCTCAGAGCCAATTATGACATGAGGGGTATCGGTACATTCGGTTGTGTATCGGTACCCTTATTACATTCGAAATTCAGGGGTATCGGTACATCCGAAGAGTGTATTGGTACACCTCTACTTAAAATTCATTTTTGGCTCGATTAAGGTTCGAAATACTTTGTAAAAATTGTTTAAAAATTATTTTAAGATTGAAACACAATTTTACACTTAAGTAAGGAGTAAAATTGACATTTAAAAATTTGGAGTAATATTTTTGATATTCGAATAATTTAATCGAATATATATTTTAAAATTGAATATAAAATCTTAAAATTCATTAACACTTTATTTGTTATATCGAAACATCAAAATGTTTTCAACAATCTCCCCTTTTTTGATATAACAAAACATTTTAGTAATTTTAAAATTTTCTTTTTTAAAATCATTTTTGAAATCAATTTTGAAAATTACTCCCCCTTACTTTTATTCTCTCCCTTTTTGTTAAATCAAAAAGACTCTATGAAAACCGTTTAAACAAGTTTTTAAGGAAAATAACCAATTGATTTATATAGATATAGCTGCTAAGATCACAATCGAGAGAATTTGTTAGCCATTATTTCATAAACAATATTCATAAAAAATGTGTAATGGTAATTGGTCATATGATATCTAATATGTAAATGATGCAAAAACTATTGAAAATTCAATTTAAGTTCAAAAAACTAATATTCATTCATAATTAACCAAAAATAAATCCAAACAACAAACAAACAAATCCAAACACATCCAAGTTTAAATATTGAAACATCCATCCAAATCATTCAAAATGTTTTAACAATATTTTTAAGTTCAAATTCAACCTATTAAAACAAGCAAGAAAAGTTTAATCATCCATCGGCGGGTCGGGAGGAGGAAAATGTGCTCGTAGAGCAACCATATCAAGTGTAAGTGCATTGAGTCTGTCGTCCATAGCAATGAGTCGATGATTCATTGCTTCGTTGTTAGCTCACATTTCCCGTTGATTCTACAATTGTTGAGCCCCCATAGCAGTTAAGTGGGACTCTATGGATGCAAACCTCATGTCAAATATCTCCATGAACGATCGAAAATATGGAGGCATATGACTCTCTTGCTGGACCGGCTCGTCCTCAGCTAGGTTAACGGGATCATTGACATCCCGAAGAAGATTTGCAAGTTCTGGATCATCAGTAGCCAGTGCTGGAGCAGCTCGTGAAGAACTAGCACCCTATGTTTTCTAGGTTGATCGAACCTATTGATCTTTATCCCCACACCATCCCGATTTGCACAAAGTTTTAAGATTTATTTGGCTTTTAAGAGGGATAGCTACATCAAGCTGAACCCTAAGCTTGGCTTTGATAAAAAGATTTTTGATTGTTCTTCCCGAATATTATAAGACTCAAATAGGTCAACAAACCTAGTGTAGAGATTTTCCCAACGACTAGGTTCGTTAAAACAAGAATTTCGGATAGTCATTTCGGGTTCATTTGGGTTTGGATTGGAAGGCGGAATAAGAGGTTAGTTTGGTGGTTGGTTTGATCGACTAGACGATGACCTAGGGCGTCTAGACATGATTTTAAAACGGAATGGGAATAAAGATACCTGCAATTTGAAAACACATGTATGCAACAATATCAATCCCAAAACTCAATATGAGTCCTTAATATTCAAGGTTCTCTAAATAATATCCTAATGGGCAAAATCTGAAAACTATTTTGAAAACAATGTTTGAAAAAGCATAATATGTATAGTTTTCATGAAAACAACATAATAAAATTAAAAACAATTTTTTTATTTCGAAAATTAAAAAAATTGAACAATCTTGTGTTTTTGATGAAATCAGTTGTAGATTCTAGTTTAAAATCATAATATAAGCAATGCTCGATATCTATTTCGAACTATAACTAACTAAAACTAGTCATATGTTCAAAAATCAATAAAATAGTGGTTTTAGAAAAATTACCTTGAAAAATTGGATTTGAGTGTGAAGCGATGTTGTTTGCACTGATTTAATAATTGCTAACATGATTATACGTTGAAAAATGAAGAGATTCCGACTTGAAACGTTGGATTTGAACAAGATAGAAAAATTAAGTAGAGATGAGGGTATACGGTGAGAGTGTTTTAAGAGAGAGCTTGGGAAAAATGTTGATATTTTAGGGATTTAAAGCCTAAACCCGACATGGGGTATCGGTACCCCTCGAGGGGTATCGATACACATTCAAGGAATGTATCGGTACACATTCAAGGTGTATCGATATATAGCAAGGGGGTATCGATACCTAGGTATTGGCAACTTAAAATGCTAAATTAATAAGCTCTAGTGGTATTGGCAACTCATATTTCGAAAATTAACTATGTTCAATCAATAAAATCTACCTTTAAATTTTATTTGAACATATTATTAATTTTCACTAAATATCATAAACTCCCCCTAACTATTAGCATAGAATGCATTAAAAAAATGTTATTATTATAAGCAATTTTCATTTTCTAATTAAAAGTGATAAAATTATTTTAAACACTAAGTCAAGGTAGGTCAGTTAAACCTAATTCTCTCCTAAGTGTCAAAAAACTTTCTTTATCTAAAAGTTTTGTAAAAATATCCGCTAATTGATGCAAAGTATCAATAAATTCTAGAACTATATCTCCTTTTGTGACATGATCTCTAATGAAATGATGTATAATTTCAATGTGTTTAGTTCTAGAGTGTTGGATGATATTTTTAGTGAGACAAATAGCACTAGTATTGTCACACTTGATGGGAATGATACCAACTTCAATTTCATAATCTAAAAGTTGTTGTTTCATCCATAAAACTTGTGCGCAACAACTACCCGCTGAAATGTATTCCGCTTCAATGGTAGATAATGCAACACTATTTTGTTTCTTTGAAAACCAAGAAATCAACATATTTCCTAGGAATTGACAAGTATCGGAGGTTCTTTTCCTATCTATTTTGCATCCTCCATAATCCTCGTCTGATAATGCATGCAAGCTAAAGCTAGAGTCTCTAGGATACCAAAGTCCTAAACTAGGAGTGTCCTTAAGGTATCTAAAGATTCTATTAATGGCTTTTAGATGTGATTCCTTAGGGCATGATTGAAATCTAGCACATAAGCAAACGCTAAGCATAATGGCTGGTCTACTTGCGGTTAGATAAAGCAAAGAGCCAATCATAGACCTATAAAGTTTAACATCTACACATTTACCTTCTTCATCTTTGTCAAGCTTTGTATATGAGCTCATTGGAGTGGCTTGGAGTTTTACATTCTCCAATCCAAACTTTTTGAGCATATCCTTGACGTATTTTTCTTGATTGATGAAGATGACATCTTTTATTTGCTTGATTTGGAGCCCCAAGAAGAATGAAAGATCCCCATCATGCTCATATCAAGCTCACTCTGCCTTACCTTAGAAAATTCTTGGCAAAGAGCATCATTAGTAGAACCAAATATTATATCATCAACATAAATTTGAACTACTAATAAATCTTTACCTTTTCGCTTTAAAAATAATGTAGTGTCAACATTCCCTTTTGAAAAATCTTTTTCTATTAAAAAATTTGACAATCTTTCATACCAAGCTCTAGGAGCCTGTTTTAAACCATAAAGTGCTTTTGTCAATTTAAAAACATGATTTGGAAATTTTGAATATTCAAAACCAGGAGGTTGTCCCACGTAGGGGTGTATTCGGTTCGGTTCGGTTTTTTACCAAAAATTGAACCGAACCGAAATAAACGGGTTTTCAATATTTAAACCAAAACCGAAACCGAATAGTTAAAAAACCGAAAAAACCGAAACCGGTTTTTTCGGTTCGGTTCGGTTTTT